TCTGCCCGCCCCCCAGCCCCTGGCTGAGGTTGGCAGGGTACCCGGCGGGGCTGAGCATGCCTGGGGTTTGAACGCTGCCTTCTGAAGCTGGAAATGGGAGCGGGGCAGGGAGTCACCCGCTCGTCCTGTGTTCCGTTGCCAGATCGCTGAGCTCAGCCAGGTCCCCCTGCCTGTGATGCTGCTACCGGACGACTTCAAAGCCAACTCTAAAATCAAAGTGAACAATCATCTCTTCAGCAGGTGAGGCGCTGCAGCGGGCCTGGGCCTGTCTGCCGGGCAGGGGACAGGGGGTGGGGGGGCAAGGCTTGTCTAAAAGGCTGAGCTTGGATCTGGTAAATTCCTGCGCCTCTTCCCCTGCCCGTGAGGGGTCATTAAAGATCACCAGGCTCTCTTCGCAGGGGAGAATGTTTCCAGCATTGATCTGTCTCAGCCGGCTGCAGGGATGTTTAAACCCCTGAGCCAGCCCCCCTTCCCCCCCTCCCGAATGCCTCTCACGCTTCCTTAAGGGCTGGGCCCACGGCCTCCATGCTTCCTCAGCTCCCCTGCTCCTGCTTCGCGTTGCACCTGGGCACGAAGCGACCCCCGACAGCGGGTTTCAGGGCAGGTTTTCTTGGCTGTCAGCAGCCCAGCCTGGGAAGCCGTTGGGTGAGCAGAGAGACGGAAAGGGTAAAAGACGGGCCGTGCCGGGTTTCTGCCGGGTTTCTGCCCAGCCATGCAGCTGCAGAGCCCGGCTGGGCCTGCTGTCGTCAGCCCCAGGTCAGAGCTGGGAAGGGCCAGTTCGTGTCCTGCCCTTGAGCGGCTTGTTCTGTCCCTGGGGTTTCCAATCCTCCCTTGATACAGGCTATTCCAGGCCCCTCCCCGCCCCATGTGTCCTCTGCCCTGCCCCACCCTCCCGTGTGTGGCCGTCCCACGCCTGGTCAGCACTGCCACGCTGGTCACGCCTCCACGTGTTACGGGAAGTTCCCACGGCCGGGCCCAGCGGTTATCTGCCTGCCTTCCCACCACGCCTTGCTCAGGAATCCCTCCAGGCAGGAGCACCCGAGCTGTCCTCTGCTGGCTCTGCCGGCGCTTGGAAAGGGGCTGCAGTCTCCCCGGAGAATGAGCGTCAAAATGGGACCCGCTTCCCCCCCAGCCCTGTGGGTGGAAGCCCAGTACCGCGTATGGCC